TTTTATCTCAGCCTAAATTTAGTTCGGACGTCGGAATGAGCTACGGGGGTTCTCAACTCACCAGGCCACCAAAATCAGCGGGGGTACCCGTCCTGGGCAGTGAGATTCCCCGCAGTTTCTCCGATCCGAGTTCACGGCACCAATCTGTTATAAATGCAATGGCAAAATAGGGTTAATACAAAAAGCGATTTATTATAAAACAATTTCAATCACAAACAACGAGAGAAAAAAAAACACAATAAAATAAATCAGCGCAGCGCTGGGTGGACAGGGATCTATACCCAGAGGTACAGATTTACCCAAATCCATGAAGGAGGGTAGACAGTCCGGGATTTTGTGTCCTGAGGCTAAAACTCCGAGCAGTTACTGTTCAACAAAGAGTCTAGATGGTTGGTTGAATGAATTTCCTGGAACCGTGGAACTGAATCAATAGACGACTGGGCAGAGTCCTTTCGCATGTGAAAGGTTCTGAGTGCTTCTTGATTGTATCTTCGGTTGGGCTTTCAGGGTGAGGTGTCCAGGTGCAGTGTGGAGCCGATGGGCATCTCAGCCTGGCTCCTCTCATTGTTTAACCTGATTGTCTGTGTCCTGCTCTTTCTTTCAGGCTGATAAACGTCGCCTAGGGTCGTTACCGCCTGAATGGGTAATTACTGCTGGGGAGAAATCCTTAGGCCACACTATATTTTATATATTTGTTACAAATACAGTTATATACTTATTTATTCTTCCACGAATTTTTATCCAAGGTTACATTTATCACAATCTATTCAGGCAGACATGGCACTCAGTGCTCTGGCAGTCATGGTGACTGCACCTCCTCCCTTGGGCAGTATATTCTAAAGCTTGACAGTCCTTTTCATGAAGAAATTTTCCTGATGTCAAGGCTGAACCTTCCCTGGTGCAGCTTGAAGCCATTTCCTCTTGTCCTGTCACTGGCTGCCAGGGAGAAGAGGCTGACGCCCACCTTGCTCCACCCTCCTTTCACTGAGTTGAAGAGAGTGTTAAGATCTCCCCTGAGCCTCCTTTTCTCCAGGCTAAACCCCCAGCTCTGGACACTTTAGAAATACAAAGAGGAGTTAAGAAGGCTTAGTACTGAAAATATAGTTCAACACTCAAACGTAAAACAAACCCACATTTGTGTTGTACACCTGCTCTTAGCTGTGTTGCTCAGACTGCATTCTCTCAACTCAAAGCTTCGTCACAATATCCATGTTAAATACTATCCATTATCTTCAAAAAGTATTTAGCAAATTCGTATTTAGCAAATCTCTTATTCTCATTTTTGTTATCTGTTAATACAGAATGTTATCTTAATTACTTGTCCTGCAATGGGCATTGATTAAATTATTTGATAATCACTGACATTTACTGTATTTTTTGAGCTCTCAGAGAGGTAGGAGTAAAAATTACCCTCTGTAAGATTATTCACTGGGGTGCAGTTTTTAATAGGGAATAGACTATATCATTAAAACTCTAGTAATACAGATAAATATAAAAGAAATTATACCTCTATTTTTCCTCAGATCACAAATGATATTTATCGTAGAAGCGCTAGTACTGGGAAAAAAAGAAAGAATAAATTTTAAATGTTAAACTTTTTCTTGACAAGCTTTCAACATTAATCTACCTACAGCAAAATATTTCCTCCTAGTTATGGCAGAATTCTACAGCTTGAAGCAGCAGATTCACATAATTCACTGGGCTTCAAGGTATATTAATAGATCTCAGTGTCAAGAATTAATCTATGTCCTCAAAAGATGATTTAGTACCCAAAGTGTGCTAGACAATATCATATGCAAAACCCAACAATTTTATCACCTTGAAATCTCCCCAGATCACACCTTGTCTGGGATCCAAAGGATGTTAATAACAACAGGCAGTATAAAAACTGAAACATATTCCAAGACACTAAAAAAAATACTTCACAAGAAACTTCTTCTAAGACCCACTTCAGCTCTCAGTTCTAAATTTACTGTTTAAAATTCACTTGGCCAACTTATATTCAATGACCCTGACAAATGATTTAAGAATACTTTATGCTGTTTGAGAACGGGTAATGGCTTATGGAAGAAAGGTACAAGAACATGTTAGATTTTTCTATCACCAGCAATTGTGCAAATCAACATTAATAATATGAGATTCTAAAAACAAAGGGCTGTACTCAAATTTTAAATCACATATTTGATTTCATTATTTGCTACGTAATAGTTTTTGGAAACTGGGAGTTGCTGAATTGTGAATAAAAAAAATAGATACAATTTTATTCAACACAAAGTTAAATTACATATTTTGGATCTGTGAAAGCCAGCACTAGCTATTCTCCTTCCTTTTCAGAAACATGTAAAATACTAACAAATTCAGGCTAAAATTTGCTCCATGCACTTTTTCGTCTCATCTTAAATATAGAAAATAAAATAATTCTACTTCAGTAGACAACCCCATTTACAAGTGTTTAGCAATAAATTTTAAAATGACAGGGGAACAATCTAATAAAAGCACTTTAACATCCAAAAAGAAATTGCTGCTCAAAGCATTTTTATAATTAGGTTTCGCACTGAAAGGAACTTTGGATGGCTGCCCTGTTTTCTGTTTAATTTTGGTGAAGTAATCAGTGAAATGTCAAATCTGTTCATCACCTTGGCAATACAAAAGAACCAGTTGGCCAGATAATGCAAGCAAATTAATTCCATGAATGCAACAAGATGCTGTGGAGTCCCTGCATTTGAGGAATGGCATTCAGTAAACACTTGATCATTAATATTTCAGTTCTGATAACTGGAAAAATGCCAGGAACTTACATCCTTATGAGCATAGCCCTGTTGTAGAAACTTAATCCAAGTGACAAAATAAATGTGTGACCATGTTACTGCATAGATCAAGTCTTCTGAAAGGAAAGAATTTATTTTTTCTACAACAGGAATGAATGAGCTCTGGGACAACAGTCTTGTTTTTTCAGTATACCTGTCCTTCCTCCTAAAAATAAATAAAACTAGGCATTGTTAAAGATACCAGTACAGAACTCGGGATGAATTACATTAATGACTTCATGATTTGAAATACTACACACAACAGCAATTTTAACTCTCTGCTTTCCATAAGGAGGTTTAAGGCAGGTTTTCCATGCTACTCTGGGAACCAGGACCCATTGCCTTTCTTTTAGTAATGTCTATGTTCATTTGTGTAAAATGATACTCAAAGCTTTTTCTCATCACATGACTTTACTACTATTCCTGTTTGCTCACTTAATGTTCAGGTGGTCCCTACATATCGGTAAAATTTTGGTCAAAACTTTTTTTTTGCCTTCTCTAAATTGATCACCAGAGTCATTTAGTGAGACTAAATGGAAAGTCTTACAGGCATCTGTCAGCTGATTTTCCACTGTAAAATCCATGGATAACACTATCAGCCTAAAGCTGGGTGCTTCTGGTAAGAAGATCCAGCAGAAAAAAAAAGTAGTTTTACAGAAGAATAAAATGGAGATACTGAGATCCAGAGGTAGGGTAGCAAATATGTAAACAATATCACAAAGGGGGATCACCCCTTAAACAATCTCAACTTTCCCAGAGGAGAATTTCAAAAGCAGAGGCTGCACCAACCAGTCAAAAAGTGATAAATCAGAGCTGTGTGTCTTCTATCCTTTCATACATTGTGTAATAGCACCTCCTACCTGAAGCTACAACAGGTTAACTATATAGGTGAAGACATGAACGTTAGCAGGGCAAACCAAATACAGAAAGGTGGATAAAGCACATCAAAATTTATAGGATGAGGATGAGGGTAACTGTGAAAGAAGGCAGGGAGGGAGGATTATATTCATCCAGCAAACCCATATACTGTTGTGGCAGTTTGACATTAATTGATATTTGGGGAGAAGTAAGAAACACACACAGAAGTGATTTCTTTAAGAGAAGCTGCTAGGAGCCACTTCTGTGCATAGGACAGGCCAATAGCTGGCTAGTTGTGAGAACTGACAACATTTTAAACCCTAGAAAATTGGGTCCACCTCTGTGCATTCCACCTTTTAAAAACCACAAACCTGGGAACTATCTCTCTTAGCTTCCGGCCTTGAAGAGGTAACTGGAGACCAGCCCCTGCCTGGCCCAGGTGGCCTGGGAGGGCCAGGCCAGGCTCTGCTGTGGCACTGGCCCCTCCTGGGAAGCTCTCTGGGTCCCAATCTGGCTGGGGTGGCTAGGGCCCCTTCCCAAGGGGGCTGACCCCTTCCTGGGGAGCCTGCTGAGGCCTTTGCAGTGGTACCGCCGGGCCAGGCCGGCCCCAGCTTGGCTGAAATTCTGCAGCCGCTGAGTTTCACCAGAAACTGCCAGGCAGGAGGAGGGGAAGCCATCAGCCTGCGGTGTGCAGCCTCTGAGTGCTGGCCTAGCTCCTGAGATCATAGTCGCCCTCGCCCAGTGCAGCGACAAATCATCCAGCATAAACAGCTCCAGCTGCTGCCCCCAGCAGAGCTCACATGACCATCCACAGGCCTGGGCAAGATTTAAGCCTTCCACTACACAGATGAGACCTGCAGACCTCAATCCTCTCTCCAGGGAAAGAAGAGAACAAAGTGACACGTAGAGAGACAACATGAAAACATCAAGGTCAGTAAAAGAAAGAGTCAAGCCTGAGATGAAAGAGGGATGAGGAGATGCCGAATGGGGAAGAATTATTCTTTTGATAGGGCCACGGAGATGGATAATGAGTCTCCTTTAATTCATGAAAGAGTATTGGGGGAATGAAGTATACAAGCTGTAGATCTGAGCAGAGGAATCCATTGATGAAGCCAAGCAGATGTTGGAGTAGCTGTGATCCTATGACACGCTTGAACAGTGAGAGAGAGAGATGAGAGTGATGAAGACCTGTTAGCGTTCAGGATCACACATAATCACAGAATGATTATATGAAGGTGCTTTATTGAAGAGCTCTGGGTGTCAGGGGTACACATACCCAAATCTGACCCGATTTGGTTTTGAGTTGAACATATTTTATACTCTACCGTTATGCAACTTACATATTAATGATTAAACTTACATTGTTCTATTGTAAGCATTGTTTTTACCCAAGCATGGATTTCTTGTGATCCCCCCTAGCCCCCTAACATTGTTCCTCATGTTCTTTAAACAATAATTGTATCTAATCACATCTAACAATTGTATCATTTATCATATACTGACTACACAGGTGCAGTTTGACCTGATCTTTAGCAAGCACAAGGCCTAACATTTCTCAGGGCCTACTTTTCCCAAGGCTTTCCAAACCTAACTTTCTTTCTAAGTCTCCGAATTTTCTAAGATTTTAGAACCTTTTACTATCAGACCCTTTCCCCCAGGAAGAGAAGAAAACCTCTGTTCCCAGAGATGATCACAGAGACAGATGGAGAGAACATTTGCCTTTGAAAAACTCATCCTTAAAATAATACCCCATGAGTTCATGGCCCATGAACACACCTCTAGGAGGGCTGTGAAAATGGGAGGAAATTTCACAATGGCAGAATTTTTGCCCAGGTGGCTGCTATTAATAGAAATGAAAAGCCAGGAGAGAACTGTTTCTTGTGGAGAAGTCTCCATGGCATGACAACAGAAAACTCCTCTCCCTACTAAGACTGATGAAAAGACTATTGTATAGTTGGTACTGTTTTAACGTCCCAGGTTTTATCTCTACATTGTCAGTTGGGAAAGGAAAAAGCTGGGCAAGGGGAGGAAAGGTGTTCTGGAGGTTTTATTCAGGTTTTTTTATTCTTGTGGTCCTGTTAATAAAGTTTCTTTATTCCTTTTAAGTTTTAAGCCAGTTTTGCCCTTCTCCTAACGGATATCTCACAGCAAGAAATTAGTAAGTACCCTGGTGATTTTAGCCAGCTCTAAACCCACCACATTATTTGGTGCATTGGCCGGGAAACTCAAACTGGTGAATCTAGACCACTACACAGGATGAGGGTCCTTCCCCCGCATCATTATCATCATTCACTGGCTGATCGGTTTTGGTTTTGTGTTTCATACCTCTCATGGTAGGAGCAAAAACCATTGGTTTAGGTTCACTGTCTGGTTTAGCTGCTGGCTGAGCTGCAGCCTGAGGGACTGGGGTAGCTGCTGATTTATCTCGCTGCCCTACAATATCTAGCAGCAAGCAGTAAGCATACACCAGGGCTCAGCTTATTGCAATGATCTTTTTCTTAGAATCATCATGGCACTTCTCTTTCAGGTATTTCCCCACCTCAGCCAGCCTGGCTAGCTCAGTCGGTAGAGCATGAGATTCCTAACCTCAGAGTTGTGGGTTCGAGCCCCACATTGGGCACCAATAATTGTATTTGTCTTGGTTTAGGGCAAAGTTGAGCAAGAGCTTCCAAATGGGGTCCATCCAGAAAGCAAATTCAAGTGGTCCCTCCCCCAGCTGCTTCAGGGAAAAAGATTTCTTTGGAGAAAAGTGGAAAAAACTGTTTAATAGAAATAGAATAATATAAAACAATAAAACTTCTCGCTGTTCAATGAGATGGCAAATCCAGAAAAAAAGTCTTTTTCATGTGGTGTTGCTCAGCTTGCTCAGGTTCTTATCAGCCCCTCTGGTGCTGGAAAATGACAAGGCCCAGGCCCCAGTGGGTGACAGGCATGATCTCCCGGAATTTGTCTGGGTTTTCAGTCCAGAGCAGGTTTGAACAGATCCAAGAAAAAAGTAAAAAAGTCTGGGGAACTTCTCTGTCTCAGTTAGCTAAAAACTTACTAAAAGCAAAGGAGTGCTCTGTCCCACTGTCTGTGTGTGCTGCAGACAGCACAGCAGTCCAGGAGAAGGATGTGGGGGAGTGAGGGCTCTTTCTGGACAGAAACTGTGTGTTTCTTCTTCCCCCCCTTCATACCCAGA